ACACACACACACACACACACACACACACACACACACAGACGGAAAAAGAGGAGGAAGCGAGGGAGAGAGAGAGACAGGCAAGCTTCCTCCTTTTTTTCCTTTTTTTTCCTTTTTTTTACCTTTTTTTTTCTTTTTTTCCTTTTTTTTTCCTTTTTCTTTTTCCTTTTTTTTTCAAGACATGCGCGCCATAGCTACACAGAGCAACCTTGTCTCGCCCCGTACCACTGACGATGGCAGAGTCTTGACCGCACTCTCCCTCTGCCACACACCCACGCGTACACACACACAGACTCTTGTCCGCACACTCTCAGTCACACCCACGCACGCGCACACACACAGACTCTTCCTCGATCTCTCTCTCTGACACACACGCACACACACATAGACAGACAAACTTCGTCCCATCTGTGTATCTGTGTGTGTGTCTCTGTGTGTGTCTGTGTGTGAGAGAGAGAGTGAGAAAGAGAGAGAGTGAGAGAGAGAGAGAGAGATAAAGTGGGCATCGCCACACCACACCCGAAATATGGAAAATGAGAATGAACTTCCCGCTAGAACATGGCCAGATGCACCCGCCACGTTTTCTCACATTTCGACCGTGGTGTGGCGATGCCCACGGACCGCCCGCACCGCGGACGGAGCGCCAAACACTCATGTGCCTGCATCTGACCGTGTTCTAGTGGAAAGTTCATTCCGACCCAGAAAAATTGCAAAACAAATGTGTCTTTTTTGTCTTTTTTGGTTTGTTTTTTTTTTGTACCGATGCAAAAAAAATGCAAATTCACGGGAAAAAAAAAAACAGAGTCTTTTTTTTTTTCAGAAACAAAACGAAAACAAAAGGCAAAAAATAAAAAAAAAAAAAAAAAACAAAAAAAAAAAAAAAAAAAAAAAAAAAAAAACACACCAGAACGAAAAAAAAACAAAAAACAATACGAAACAAAATGACAAATTCTTTTTTTTTTTTTTTTTAGAATACGAAACAGAAAAAAAGCGGGCCGGACACAAACCGACACGGAAATGCTATCGACGGCGGGCGCGTCGAGGTATTCATCCTCGTCGACCCCTGCCGTATACCCCGGCCCGTGGGCACGCTCTCTCGTTTAGTGGCTCGCTGTGAACAATTCGGTACGTGCGCCACTCTGCACGCCCACCTGCCCTCGATCGCCTTCATCCACCGGCCCGCACCGAAACTTCGACCCGATTCCAGCGCGCAACGGACCATCGACCTCCCTCCCGCGGCCAATGTTAATTAAGGGGTAGGAAAGGAGAGAGGATATCGTTTTTCTTTAATTTCTCTTCTCCACGATTTTCGTTTTTTATTTTAATTTTTTTCCCAAGAATTATCATTTTAGGAAGGAAAAAAATATGGGGTAGTCAGGTTTGAAAAACCCACAACCCCATATATATATATATATATATTTTTTTTTTCCTTCCCATTCATTTGTCGGGAAAAAATCCCCCAATTCATGACTACCCCCCAGCTGCGACGGTGAACTTGGTCGCGCGTTGAGATTGACCCGGCGGCCAATAGGACTGTTGAGGAGCCTGCCCGACATGTAGAAAATGCACTTGTACTCCTACGACAACACAAGTATAAGATAAACTTAGAGAAATGTGAGTTCAATCGCACTAGAATCTTGTACTTGGGTCATGAGGTATCTGCGGAAGGAATTAGGCCCGAAGATGCAAAGGTGGCTAGCGTTTTCACCCGAATAAAACGCTCGGTCATTATCACTGTATCTAGACTGAAAGTTGCACCACATACGTCTGTAATGACTGGGCATTCTATTCGGGTAAAGACAGTAACACTCATGACTAGCCACGACCCCAGTCTGTGACTGTGGTTAGATCATTCTTAGGGATGTGTGGCTACTGCCGTAACTTCGTGAAGAACTATAGTACCGTTGCCTCCCCTTTGACTGATCTAACACGCCTTGACAAACCTTGGGAATGGACAGACGCATGTAAGGCTTCTTTCAAGAGGTTGAAGTACGTCCTCAAACATCATGAGATTCTCATGGTCCCCTTTCTGGAGAGGTCATTCGTTGTGACCATTGACGCAAGTCAATATGACATTGGCGCGGTGCTGGCTCAACAGGAAGGGAAAAAGTTAAGGAAGAAAATGTCATCGAAGAAATTGGCAAAGTCCACCTATGAAAGAGAACTTTATGCCCTTTACAAAGCCCTTGTCCACTAGAGACAGTATCTCAGTATCTGTCAGGAAGGTTCATCTATTTCAGAACTGACCATCGGGCACTCAACCTATTCTCTCTGATGCACTCAAACGCTAGACCATTGATCAGTATGACTTCAAGCCAGATTATGTGAAGGGAGAGTACAACAGGGTTGTCGATGCACTTTCACAAAGGGCAGGCTATCTAGGTGCGCTAATAATTGAGTTTGGCTTATCAAAGGAAGACCCTGTCGCGATGGATATCATGTGCAAACTTGAGGCCCAAGACAAGGCCACATCAGATGAGTTTGTGATGGTGGATGGGTTACTCTTTTTTGAAAAGGCAGGGTTCAAAAGATGAGTTGTTCCATCTAGTGAAATTTTGCGTAGTTTGTTTATAGGTGAATGTCATGACGCGACTGGTCACTTCAACTACAAGAAGACAAGTGCTAATTTAGTGCAACATTTCTGGTCACCTAGTACGCTTGACGATATAAAAAAGTACGTACAAACTTATCAAGGTTGTCAGCAGGACAAGCCGCGAACTCAAGCTCCGCTTGGGTTATTGAATCCATTGCCCATTCCTATTGGTCCGCGAGAGAGTATCTTCATGGACTTCATGGATACCCTCATGACCAGCAAGAGTGGCAAAAGGCACATATTTGTCATAGTTGATAGGTTTACTAAATATGCTAGTAAAAGAATCTTTACGAATTATACCCCAGATGAGTACCCCAACAGCGAGGGGCCCTATCAGCCAGAACTTAAATTCACGAGCAGCAACCCGAAAGACAAAGTTCCTGCGGCAAATGTCACATCCATAATGAAATGAAAGGTCATTTTAAACAGTCACAAACAGGTCCTGATTCCTGAACGAACAAGTATTGGACACAGTTTTGAAGATTGAGAAAGGGTCATGTCTCCTCAATGGAAAGTCACGTCTGTTCGGCAATATGTTAAAGGCCACAGTCCCAGTCCAGTCATAATCCCACGAGCCAGTCCTGATTCAGACCAGGAGTCCAAAAGACAGGCCCGATGGCCCAAAGCAGCAATAGACTATGGGAAAAGATACTGGGACACACACTTTGCAACAACGGGTACTGGGCAGGAGTCCCAAACACTTGAGGCTGAATGCAGGGCACGCCAGACCAGTCCAGCAATATAAAGGACTGGCCAGCCTCCCATTTGACAGATGCTCACTTCGCATGAGAGTGTGGAAGTGTCGTGGCACTTGTGCACCGGATGTGTGTGGGCTGCGGTAGGCTGAAGAGCAGCGCTAGGTGAGAGTGAAGAGAGTGCTGGCTAGAGGGAAGGCAGCCATAGTTGCGCCAGCGCTAGTAAGCACATTAGTAGGGATAGTTAGTAGGAGAGTTCAGTGAGTAGTATTCAAAGTACATCCTCGTGTGATAGGGAGTGAGCATGCATGATGAGTGGGAGTAGACCAGGACAATAGACATAGAG